ACTGCTCTATTACTCAGAGCAATAACCCAACACTTTGAAATCTCTCATTAGAGACTCCTGGTCCACACATGTAGACAGGCATTCAACAAAGATTTCCGTTTGTTTATGGATCTTACATCAACTGAGATCTCTGCTCTGCTTTTCTTAGTAATTATCTGCCTGCCTTCTCCCGCTGCACCCTGTGAAAGGTTTTGCAGCACTGGGCCTGTGATTCACTATTCCTGGGCTCGGCTGAGCCCTGGCCACACGTGGCCAGTACAAGCCATTTCAACATTGAAAGATTTAACATAATTCCACCCCTTACTAGACCTCTGCAGAGAAACAGCTTCTATTTTGCATTCTAGCATCTGTGGTATTACCCACCTTATGGATCTATCCATTGGGCTTACGTGAGGGTTGTGTATAAACGATACCATGTTTTAAATCCCCTATGTTGAAGATACAGTCAAGTACAGCTTTTGATACAGCCAGTCCTAGGTATCTATATAAGAAAAATTTCCTTCCAAGGGTAAATATCTCTCAGGGCACTGAGGGTTTGAATGAGCAATAAGTAGTTGCAAAGGAATGCTTAATATTGTACTCAAAAATATTCTGAAATAAAAATTCCTGGTTAAATTAACACTAGCTGATATAAAAAATGTGTTTTCTGTCCATATAGTTAGCAAGCTCTGGTTTGAGTTCCGTGGCAGTGTCTCCTTATGTCACTTCTGTTTTGCCTTTTTTGCATTTTTTATTAGCTTTCCATTTACAGAATATTTCTGTTCCACCTTCTTTTTCTAAAACTGCTCCTCAGAACATTCCCACAGCTCTGCAGCACAGTTCCTCATTCTCCTGGGGTAGCAATTTACTGCTAGCCTGTGCCGGTAGTAAATTACTGGCTCCATCACTAACTTGCTAGCTCAGCTGCTGTAACCAGTAAGTAGCACCTAATCATTGCCCATCTGCTCCAGCAAAGGAGTAACTCTGGGTTTGGTGCTCCTCACTGACGCCTGTGTGCTCAGACCCAGAGCAGGAGTGGCTGTTTAGCAGATCAAAGGGAGTTCTTACTCCCCCGTGCGAGCATGTGGTCCAATCTAGCCCTGAATGATTAGCATATTTAAAAATTAAAATAAATCCAAGGAGTGAACTGACCCAGGGGAAGTCTCAATCCCATCAAATTAGACTCATATATCCACCCCAGAGCAATTCCTTAGAAGCCCTGCCTTCATGAAGCTTCATTTGTAATCACTACGTGCTGTGTACTTCAGAAAAGTTTTATAATTACTTGCTGTTCCGGCTGCTGAGCAGTTCTAAATGTTAGATATTAAGGAATTGCTGTTTCAGTCAGTGAACAAGCTCTGAACATTAAATGTGCTTCATGAGAAGTTTTTTTCTCAGCCGTTACACATCTCTGAAGGCATATTTTTTTTCAAGTGGATGCTTTCCCAGCTGTTGATCATCTCTCTGTTTCTTCTGTATGAAGAGAGAAGGAGGAAACTGATGATAATGTGACACTGTATAAAGGCTTTATCGCTGTGGAGAGAGATGGGAGCATTACTCAGAAATGCAGGCATTGAAATAATTATGCAGGTCATCCTGAAAAAGCGCCACTAAAACCTTTATCTTATATCATGCAATTTTAAGACATTTTTGTATCACACATTTTACAGAAGAAATATTTTAGCAATGCTTTACAGAATTCTGTAAAAGAATTTTGGTACCATTTTTTGTATCTCTCCACCACTACAATTGATACCCGAGGAAGAAGCAGCATATTTTTCTCATGGGTCAAGAAGATACTTGGCTGAAATAGCTCAACAAGTGGTATCAAATGCTTGGTGAGAACTGGAAATCCAAATTAAGCAGGTGGTTTTGAAGCAGTGTTGTAAAAGGTGATAGCAGTGATTTCTTTCACAGAATAGCTCATGAATTATCAAAAACATGCCTCATGTACAGAATAATGTTGAAATTTAAGATGCATACACTGGATACCATTTAAGACTAGATTCAAGTGCCACGGTTCCCATTTCCATCAATACCAGAATGATGGTCCAGTGGTTAACAAGAGATTTGGAAAAACACAGATCAGTTCCTTACCCTGTCCCAGTCTCCCATATGACCTTGTGTGTGTCACGTAGCCTCTCCTTTAGTCCTCATGCACAATTGAGACAGCTACATCTACAGTGGAACAGAGAAGAGATTTAGGAGTATATGACCCTCAAACTCCACTGCAACAGATGGTATGTAAGTAGCACACGGACAGTAAGTCCCTCATTTTAGTCCTAGAAGATCACACGGTGGCAGATGTAAATGTCAGTGGTGGAAAAGTGATTCTGATAATTCTACATTTGGGAAGAAGGAGGTCATTTTATATCAGACTTGTTTATGGTGGAGTTTAGTGCTTCTTAGAGATACAGGCTGTTGCTTGTGGCTCCAGTGAAGATAATACTGCTGAGAATGCAAGTGAGGCCATAGCAGTCAAGTGTGGTTACAGTTGTGTAGTTTGCCATGCAGCTCCCCAGATGTGTGTGTATGTGTGCATAATAGATGAAAAAACGTTGACATTTTCTTCAGTTGTGGTAATCAAAGTCATTGAGCATCATGGACTTGAAATATATTATCCAAAAGATGTACACACGTTAACTTGTGTGCATGCTAACTGTAGCCAGTCTGGACTAAGGTTCATGCTTCAGGAATCATGTAGAAAAGATGTGGTCACCTCATACTGCCTGTTTTCAATCATAGGACATCATTACAAGGATGTGTGGATAACTGGATATTGCCAGGTACAGCAGGCTGTGGTCTGTCCACGCTGCAGTTAAGTGAGCCACGAAATGCTACGTAGAAACAGGATACCCAAAGATTTTGTTCTGGGTATTTCCCCAGGGTAGCTCAAAGCCAGGCTTGAGTGTGCGCTGCAGGTAAACATTATGGACAGTTCATGAGCAGAACACCAGGCAACTCTTAGAAATTGTCTGAAGGACAAAATGAGGTGTTGTGAATCAAGAGCTGTGAGCTGTAAGGAGGTGATCATCCCTCACCTAAGTCAGTGCATCAGGAATCAGCAGGCTGGCTGGAAACAAGCTCTTTCCCACCTGCAGCTTCCCACCTGGAGCTCTCTGATCCTACCAGTAGGGTGGTGAGGCCTTTGTTGTAAAGCTACACATCTGCTCAGAGGCTATTTAGAGAAGTGTAGACTTCTTGATCAGGAAAACTTTCCTGACATATATTATCTCTTAGAACAGCTTTGATGTGTGCAAAAATTTATTCTCTATTTAGCGTAAGTGGAAGCACTGAGATAGTCAATCACATGTAAAAACTTTTTCTCTGTCAGTTACTAAGCATCAGATCTAGAAATGGTGAAAATAATGGCATTTCAGGTGTCATTAATCTAAGGCATAATGGTGCCTTTAGCAGCTAAATGAACGCTGTAGCTCAGGTGATTCAGGTATCTTTGCATATAATCATGCTTTCAAATAAATTACAAAGTTCAATCCAGTATGTATTCATTTTGAGATCTCCCAGAAGCGTGTAAACTACAGTTATCAGAGTTGCCTTGTATTTACAAGCTGTAAGATTTATTTAGTAGGAACTCTTCAAATGGGAATAGGCTGGTCTTGAGTTATGAATTGCTAAAGCCATCCATCTATCGCATTACTACACAAAATCACTCTTTAAATGCATGGAGGAAGTCTACCACTATTGCAGAAGTGTTACAATGTCTCTACTTTGACACAGCAAGAAAACAGCAAGGAAATAAATTTAAAGCATTAGGCAGTATTAAGACTTTTCAGAGTAAGCCATCCAAATGAAAACCCATGATCAAAATAATAATTATCAGGGGAATGCATTTGCTTTCAAAGTAATCATGCAAAGTAAAGCACAGAATATGTCTTAAGTAATAAAAAGTGGTGATTTCTGTTCAGAGGTAAAAAGAAAGTCTAGCACTTGAGAACATAAGTGCTTTGTACATGATCAGTTCTTGATGGATTTTCTCAGAAATGGGCCTTCGTGTATTGTACATAAAAAAAGAGGAAAAATTGAAGCTGTTATGTGATGAATGCATCCACAGGTGTGATGAAGCTGGGATTGGGTTACTGAAGCTGGGAAGATGCCTGTCTTTCTCTTCATTTTAAAATTATTACAGTGTAGGGTTAGATTGAAGTAATATTCTGTGAAATATTAAGATTTTTTACACTGTAGAAACACATTTGTAAAGTTCCAGAAAAGTTAATATATAATTTCTGATGCAAACAATTCATACTTTTTAAAAATAATTAAACTAGCAGATCATCTGGCAAATTCCTTTCATATATTCTCTTTATTTCTGATGTAGTTAAAGAAATTTAATGGAAGGGAAAGAATTTCAGCACATCTTTTCATATTTGTTATTCAAATTAACTTATGCCTCCTGACTTCGTAGTGTATTTTACCTGCCATAGCTTTGTTCTTTCTATTTGGTCTCAGCTACCTGGGTTTTTAATTTCCAGACTGTACCTCTAAGTTTAAACTAATCTTGTCAATTTGCCATTTAATCATGTTAATTTTTTTAATGGCTTCCATGCAGCGTATGTGAACTTCAGTTACGCTGATTTTCATTGCTAAGGATTTATGTGATTTTGATGGTGGATGTACACAATGAATCTTGGTTTTCTTTTTGGCTACGCTAATTCTTCAGTCTTCATGAGCTGCACTGGACTTAACTTTGGTTGATCGAGGTCAAATCCATCTTGCAGTAGGGTTGAATCATACTTGCAAAATCATAAAAAACATGTAATGGAATAAGTATATTTTGCCTTATCCTGGATTTTATCCCTCCACACAGTGTTCATAGTAAGAGCAACTGACCCATTTTGAATAATTCCAGTTTGTATGCTCTGAAAAAGTTATAGATTGAAAAAAGCCTTGTGTTATATCTGCATATAAATAGCTGCATTTTCCAGTAGCTAATATGATTCACTTCATTTGCCTTCTTCAGCAAAAGTAATAGTTCTTCTCTTTCCCTGTTTTCCTCTTTTCAGAAGTAACAGTTTATTCAATGAGGTCGTGCAGATGAACTTTGAAATAGCCAGTTTCAGCAGCCTTTCTGGAACCCAGCCCATCACCTGGCAGGTGGAATACCCTCGGAAGGGGACAACGGACATAACCTTGTCTGAAATCTTCATCTGCCAGAAGGATCTTGTTGGAATTGTTCCATTGGCGATGGTAAGAAACTACTTCAGCCTATTGCTCCATCTGATCTGTATGTGGTCTGAGAACACATATACCAGGCCTCAGATAGACTTGCAAAGGAGTGCTCTCCCCCCTGCCTCCCCGTGTTAGAGCGGTATAGGGCTACTTGCTTAAATCATGCCCTCCTTTAATGGTCTGTACACATCACAATTTCAGTTCTTATAAACTTACCACAGAGGAAACATATGCTGCCACTTTAAAAATCTCTCTCAGGCTTTAAATCCTGAATTTCCATCACGCATGGTTCCCTCCAGGCTACCAGCTGGTAACACAAAGCCAAGTAGATGTACCTTCCCATTTCTAATTGCTGTTACATGGCTTGAAGTTGCAAACTGTAGAGCAACTTTAGAGGGCCTCGAGCACCTTCTGCTAAAGCATAAGTTACTTGGAACTTAGTAGGCTGAGGCTGATACTAATTTCACTGGCTGTTTCCCAGTGTAAGAACATGTGGTTTCAAAGAAGAAGCAGAAAATAATAATAGCCTCAATGATAGATTTAAGGAAAATTAAGTATAAACTTTCATGTAGAAAAATTCCTTGGGTTAAAATCTACTCGCTCTGCTTAGTGTTGTAGCACCAGTTGTGGGCTGCCTACCTCCCCATGAAATCATACCCGTTGCCTGTTTCACAAATGAGATTTGTGGAAGCAGGGTCTCCTTCTCTTCCTCTGGCCCAGTGAAGATGCAGTTACTTCTGCAAAGCAAGGCTGGGACAGTGGGAGAACTGAGACTTAGCCATTATGGCTCCCTCCTGCAAGTGAACAACCTAGGATTAAATTCCTGCTCCAAGTCAAGCAAACAAGGAATTTCATCAGTCTCCAGCATTTCAGCTGCACTGGTTTTAGGTACACTTTTTATTTTCTGTGGGATTTAGGCACATGCTGAGGACTTTTTCTACGCTCACAGGAGAAGTAGGCACTGAGCGTTTGTTTTGGGAATCCTGCTGAACCTCAGGAAAGGGAAAAGCACAAAGTTGCCAGCTACCTAGAACAGGACCAAGTGGCAATTAATAGAGGAACTGCATGTGCTACCATTAATCAATGTTAGAGCTCAGGATTTGGAAGGAGTTAGACACATTCATCCCACTTGTGAATTTTGCCTCTCCTGTACATAATCTTGGTGGTGACATTCCAGCAGTCATTTCTTTGAACAATGTTCAGTGGTTTGCAGCAGATAATTAGATGAGTATTATTTCCTGGAAGTCCTAGTCTTCAATATATTCTTCCCCTTTGAAGAGCAAAACTGCTGCTCATATCAAATGAGGTCATGCCCAGCAATTTCCTGATCCAAAGTCTGTTAAGTCAGCAGAAAGTGCGTGCTGCATTCCAGATCTGAGAGGGAAATAATTGTCCTCATTACCTGTGGAGTTGAACAGAGAATACGCATTTGAACATCTGTCTTCTAAATACTTGGAAGTGTGTGTAAGGAATGCTTTTGTGGTCAGATTTTATTTATTTTTATTATAGATGCCTTCCAGAACCAAATGACAGACATTTGTTTATGGGCAGACTTAACATCTTGTTCTTTTCTTGAAAAATTTAATCAGCTTCTTCTCTGTATTCCATATATGAGGGAATCAAGATACTTTTTTTAATATCACATATCAGGGTCTAATGTCTTTGCACATGCATAGACAGTTCAAGATTTACTTGCAGACTTGTAAATGACAAGTTCATTGACCTTGTTGATGGGTTACTTTAAGAACCGGAGGTCTAAATGAATTAATTTAGTGTTGTATGAATCACATAAGGTAAGATCTGTTATTCCCAACAGATGTACCTTTAGGCACTCTGGGTTGTGCAAAGGGTTCAAACAATGAAATCATTAAACCTTTCTCCTTGCAAAGCTTTCTTGTGTTTGGTTATCTCATTTCTGTACCTTGTGATAACACTTGGCTGGAGCCAAAATATACTGTGTTAACAGAATCCGGTTGGATGGGATACCAATGCAAAATTGGCTTTGCTAGCAGGATATTAGTAGATAAAGGGAATTTTCAGAGTTTTCTGTTAGCTGACACTGCATATCCAGCCAGGGTGCTTTCTTCATTTAGGCATTAATCTCTGGCTGAGCTGATTACCTGGCAGTTCTCCTGTTCAGAAACAAGAGTCACACTGAAAAGACGGAGGGTGATACTGTATCTGCTGAGAAGTCACACCGTGCTTTTAATCTCAACTACACACTGTAAAGCAACAGCGCGTTACTGCTACTGCACACAGAAATTAGATCTCAATGTTTATCAGCAAGTGTGTTTCATAATCCTCTAGAGAGTAAAGTAGATTTTCTTGATTTAAGCATGGAGTGTTCCTCCAGCAAAACTGCTAACATCGGAAGTAAAATCTGTCATTCCGAATTTTTAAAGGTGGCCAGAAAAAGGGAAAGAAGGAGCTGCCCAAAGATGCTCTACTGGATTAGGATGTGGGATCTGATTGAGTCTCTGCCGTTGGTCTGACAGGCCTAATCAGTCCTTTGGGGACAAATTCAGCAAACTTTTGCGTGGTTTAAATATAACATAAAGGTTGTCTCAGACTCATGGAGTAAAGCATGTCTCATGTCTCACTTATAAAGCAAGAAAGATAATGTATCCTTTATTGGCCTATGCCTGATTATGTTACAGAAAAAGTAGTGAGATGAAAAACAAGTGGGCCTTCAAAAGGTTCGTGCAATTGTGTTGCTACAGTATTTTGGAATGAAAGAGATTAAAGAATTGGCATTGTCAGTAAGAACTGAACCTGGAATTTTAAAAGAGCCTTATAGGACTTGGCTCAGTGGAGCAAGTGGTAGGATACAATTGCTGAAAAATCAATGGAAATTCATCATACAGTCGAAAGGGAGGGGCTTAGTTCAGTCCATGTTCTTTGTGCCTAACTACGGGGCTAAATAGTGTATAGAAATAAGAAACAACATCACAGTGATGCTGCTGCAGTGAACACTACAGTGAAATAAAAGGAGCAAGAAATATCAAAACTACTGGGCTGAAAATATGCATACTAACTTTTTCCCAGAAAAAAAATGAGATATAAATTTGAGGTAAGTATATTTTTTTCCTGAGATCAGAAGTTAATCAATCTGAGTAATTTTGGGGGACGTTTCACCCTTCAAGGTATTTAGAGAGAAAAATGAGACAGAAAAGTTAGGAAACTGTATTTCTAACTGATTCTGTTGCTTTCAGGAAATATATCCCACTGCCTGCTGACAGGAACAATCTACCCCAAAGATTTAATCTTCTAGTAGAGAACATCTACTGTCTATGTTGACCCCTGTTCCAGCATTTCTGATTTTATGTTAATTGTTGCAGGATCAATTAGGGAAGTGCTTTCGTAGAAGCTTAATTAATTATCTACTAAACTGCTTTTGAAAACGTCCTCAATTAATTACAAGTAACCTCAGAACTTGACAAATAAGGTGTGCATTTTCCTCAAATTTCTATCCTGTCATCAGCAAATGCAGCCAACTATATTGCTTTTACCACTTGACAAGGTTAGGAAACAAAATCAAAATCATTCACATTTGTAGCATGCACACGTGCACACACAAATCCCACGGAAGGAATCCGTATGTTTGTGTTCAACATGGGACCATGTTTTATGAAATTTAGTGAGATTTCTTTTGATACTTTAAATGGATAATACGTATTTTTAATACCATTAAATTTTGCTTTGGGCTAGAGCAAGGTAGAAGACCTGTGTAGAAGTTCATTGTTTGGTGCCAGTAAGGCAAATCAGTGCTAAAGGAGAACTCCTTCCTGGGAGGTAGATTGGCAAATCAATGGTTTAATATTTATGCAAGACCATCTGTGTTCCTATATACGAAACTCAAGTAGTAGTCCTTCAGTAGCAGCATAAACTGTCTCTGAATTAGTTCATGTCTAACTGTGACTTGCATGAAATTCAGAGATTTAAAGTGCTGAAGCATAGACATGATGTCTGGAGTCTAATCTGAGAGTTCTAGTCTGAATTTACCCCCAAAAGATGTTTGTCGCCATGGGCAGCCATGTAACTTGCTCATCCATGTATATTTCCTCTTTAAAATAACACTAATAGTAAGTTTTCAGTGGGTCTTTCATCTTTAATTCATCAGGCTCTATAATCCATTGATAACTGCTTGTGAGTTAATCAAAGTTGGAACGGCTCTCGGGCATTTCTTGCTGTTTCACACCTCACATGCTCAGAAGTTCATCGTTTCTCCCCAGCTGTATCAGTGGGTCTAATAAAAGATATGGTCTGTCTCTACGCATCTTGCCTCTCTACTGATGTTGTTTCATTAGGGAGTGCTTGGTTTGCATGCACCTTTCTTTATATTCAGAACTCAATGTATTGACAGTTCTGTTGCAGAAGTGAACGGATATCTAAGATGCAGAGCTGTGACTCAGCCAGAAACACTTTTTGACATTTTTATGTATGCTTGTTAACTTGCTTTCCATTAAAACACAGATGATGGAAAATTTAACACCCAAAGCAATGTTTGTTTTATATACACATTTATGTATGCCATTCCCTAAGGTAAAGATTTTTTAAGGTATTTCATTGTAATGAAGTCCCTGTAATACCATTTTAAAATATGGATCTAAATAAGTAGAGTTTTCATCCCTGCAGTCTGTGACTTCACACCATAAAGCTCTATCTGTTTCAAGGTCACAGAAGTGCAGAATTCTCGCTCCTGTTAATCTTTCAGTCTTGAATGAAGCCTGGGGCACCAGGCACAGAGGAGCTTTCCAGAAGATAAAATCTGAGGCTATATAAAAACATCCATTCCCTGATTTGCTTATCACAAACAAATGAACAGATAATCTATGTATCAAACTTTTCAGCTGACAGGTACCGTCTCAGATAATTTAATTATGAATCACATCAAATAAACAGTGTGAGTTGAAGGTAATTTATTTGATGTAAAACTATCCTATTACTATTAGTAGTACTAACTGGGACAATCTAAATCAGCTGTGAAGCCCTAAATAATACCATGAAGTCAAGAGTTT